AGGGAGGGAGGGAGGGAGGGGGCGAGGGGGTGGGTCGGAGGGTTGTGTGACAGACATGGTATGGGTTGAGTCAGGGACGGTGCAAAGGGACACCAGAGGGTGCAAGAGAGGCATGGCACGGGTTGGGAAAGGTCTGAGTGGATGCATGAGAAGTACGGCACAGGTCGGGTGTGTGAGAGTGTGCAAGAGGTGCAGCATGGGGAGGGTCCATGAGTGGCTGGCGTGGTACAAGCACAGAGGGGTTGGGGGAGGGTGTGTGGGTGGGGGAGGCTTACCCCAGCAACTTGCAACCTTTCCTGCCTGGACTTTCTGGGGAAGCCGGCAGGGAAGGTTGCAAACAGTGATCACATGATCGCGGGGCGCTTAGCAACTGGTCGTAAGTGTGAACAGGTTGCTAAGCTCCCAGATTGCGATCACATGACCACAAGGCTGCTGGGACAGCCGGAACTCCGAGGACCGGTCATAACCACCATTCATTCAGCACCATCGTAACTTGGAATGGTCGCTGACCGAATGGTTGTAGATTGAGGACTACCTGTAATACAGTAAAAGCAGGGAATACAACAATAGATATTGAGACAAGACAGGAAGACATTCAATATAATACAGGTAGTCCGGAATTTCTGTCACTAAGCAATGCGGTTGTAAAGCGTGATGTCACGTGACCACATTGCTTAGCGATGGTGATCCTGGCAGTCCCTTTGCCGTCATTAACCGAATCCCATCAGTTGTTATGCAAGGACCCACCCTGATCCAAGCCATTCCCCCGAGCCTCAGTAAGGTAAGGTGCCTGCTTCCTCTGCCTCTTCTCCAACTCCCCCCACCTGCCTATCTCCCCCCATCTCTGCCCTCGTGGCCATCCTACAGCGTGGCACTCCTTGGCAGTAGCAGGGCTGAAGTAGAGGCCCAGAGCCTTCAGCAACCCCAGGGCTGCCAAGGAGTGCCATCTCAAGCTCCATGCTGCTGCTAGCCACCCCAGCACAAAACCCCTGCTGCCCTGCACTCTGCAGGCCTTGCCACACCCAAATTGCGTGTGCCATTCTCATGATGCTTCGGAAAGCTTTCAGAAAGCTTCTCAAGTTTCTGAAGCATCGCAAGAATGGTGTGCACGATTTGGAGAATGGTGTGAGTGGACCAGCATGGCCAGCAGCTGCCTCACACAGAGCCAGGCTGGGCGCACCTCACCAGCAGCAGGAGGAAGACAGAGAAGGTCAGCTGGGTGCGGCAGGGCCTGTGGACCACAGGGTGGCAGAGGCTTTGTGCTGTGGTGCGGTGCTGGCTGCGGGGCGGGGCTTGAAGCAGTACTCCTTGGCGGTGGCATTGGGGCTGAAGCAGAGGCCCCACAGGTGGTGGCGGCCGGCTGAGACCGCTGAAGGCTCCAGGACTCTCCTTCAGCCTTGGTGCCGCTGCCGCCAAGGAATGCCACTGTGCAGGGCAGCCAAAAGGGCAGAGATTGGGGGGGGGAGATAGGTGGGGGAAGGAGTTGAAGGAACCCTGCAGTTATAAGTGCAGGCGGGCTGCCAAGCACCCCGATGTTGATGACATGACTGTGGGGGTGCTGCAATAGCCGTAACTTCAGGGTCTGGGCATAGTACCATTTGTTTAGCGCCGCTGTAACTTCAAATGGTTGCTGAACAAATGGTCGTTAAGTGAGGACGACCTGTACTTTGTGCATCTCATGAATTGGATTATAGTCCATGAGACCTTGTGCAGGTTAGACCTTCAAGCGCCACCAGGCCTTTCCTTTTAAAAAGAAGCTCACTGTAATCAAAAGTTTCTCCCTGGTAGGCTTTCACTTCCTTCTTACCTTTGCATCACCTCTTTTGAAACAAAGTGATGTTGGTGCCGGTGGTGGTGGTGGAGGAGGTGGAGGAGGAGGAGGTGGGGGAACCTCTCGCTTTTGCAAAGGCAAAGGTACAGGTCCTGTGGGGCTGTGTTGTGTCTCTGTGGGAGAAGCTGACAATACATTCGGAGAGATCTGGCAAGACGAGTTGTCTGCAGAAGCCCCAGTGCCTCCCTTCTGTTAGAGAGAAAATGATTTAGTTGAAGCACGGAGGAAAAATCACACCCCAAGGCAACCCACCATCTCAATTCAACCAGAATAGCAGCTCAGCTATTCCTTAACCTTCAGATCCGATCCAGCAGATCTAAGTCACCCATTTAACAATTCACTGTCTGGGTTCATGCATGGCACTAACTCAGTTTCTTTGAACCATGGCTTGTTGAAAGAGCCACACTAGTCAGCTTCACACAGTGCTTTATCATAAGCTGGGTTGATCCCAAACCTCTTCTTGAGCAAGTACCGCCAAACTGCTCAAAATCAAAGGGCTAGTTTTATTTATTTACTCAGATTGGTACGCCCTCTACTCCTTGCAAATCTATGCGGCCAGCAGCGCATTAAATTACATAAGTGCCCACTTGAGAAGGAGTGGAACCTCTGCAGAACGATGTCTCTGATCCCAAAGCCGTGAAGACAGTCCAAAAGGATACCATGACTGATGGCAGCGAACACAGTTGAGAGATTTAACCAGACCAGGAGAAATGCGCCAATGCGCTTCGAGCATCATTGCAGGTCCTCCACAAGAGGGACCAATGTAGACTCCGTCCCATGTCTACGCTGAAGCCCAAGCCATCCATCCATCCCATCCAGGATCTTTGCTGTTGAAGCTCCACCACCTTCTCAACCACCTTATGAAGAAACTGGCTGATAGTTTTCTAAGATGACCAGGCCAAGGAGTGGCATTTTGAGGAGGAGATCACACCACTGCCTTTTTTCAAGGCTTGCAGTAGGACTGTGATGTATTCAACACCTCCCAAAGCCACCTCGTCATATCCCCTCTGGCTGTGTGAATCAACCATGGTGGACAATGGTCTAATTTCCAGAGGGCTGAATTCACCCAACAAAGGAGGCTGTCAGCTTTGTCAAGGGTCACCGGGCTCAACACAATCCCAGGTACTCTTGCAAGATGGCCTTGCTTACCTCTATCATTTTGGATAATGCTGCATAGGTTTAGATAGAAAAACACAAACATTGTAGGGAAGGGTTAAGATAAGCTTAACATATTTAATCCCCTCTTACCCCGATGGGTGGCCTGTGTCTTCCTCAATCTGGGGTCCTCTACCAGAGGCCTGGGAGTTTGAGGGCCCTACGCAATATCTTAGCTGTTCCTAGCCCTGCACTCTTCTGGACAGAGAGCTCTGATGTTGTTCCTGGGATCTGCTGGAGCCCCTCTCCCAGCTGAGGAGTCACGGCCCCGAGTGCTTTTACCACCACTGGGACCACTTTGGCCTTGACGTTCCACATCTCTAGTTCCTCATTCAGGCCCTGGGACTTCTCCAAGAATTGATGGAATGCTACTACAACATACATACATATTCTAAAATAAAGATCCTTCATAACAGCTCAGGGAAATTTTGGCCAGTCCAAACACATAGCAGGCCTATTCGCTTTGCTTTAAGTTCCACCTGGTAGGGGACCTTTAAGTTTCAGCTCTTACCTGTCAAAAAGCTCACCTACCCCAACCATCCACCATGTTACACAAGTCACAATGGTTGGAGCCACCTCCCAGACCGAGCCGGATGCAAACAATTCAGACTACCACTTAGGGAAGGGGGTGTTCTTACCTTCCCATCCCACCGACACCTGAATTCTGCATTGGGGAGTATCTTTCAATTGGCTTCCGTGGGAAATGGGCTTTTTCCTAAGGCCAATAAAACAGGGCCTGGGATATTAATAGTTCCATTCTATGCACACATTATGCTTTGCATTGGGAGAAAATATCATTCCAGGGCAAATAAGTTGTGGGGGGACATTTGATCTAGACTCCAGTGGATAAAGTCCCCTGCCCCCCGCTCCAAGGCTCCTGAGTTCTTGCACTTTGCTGTTTTTCTGTAGTACAGCCTCTTTCCTCAGCCAGGAAAGATGCTGAGGACACAACAGTGGGGATTTTTCAGACAAAAGGCTGTTCTGAACTCTTCCCGGAGATGAAAAAGAGAGCAACTGTCTCTCTGATTTGCTCTGTTGGCAGCATGAGTTGTGTTTGTTGCACCATAAGGATTTTTTCCCCAAATCGCTATTCCCCAAAAGAAGAAAAACCAGCTTTGGTATTAATGGTGTAGCTTTAAGGGGGAAACAGAAATCTACATTAGAGGTAGTCCTTATTTAGTGACCACAATTGGGACTGGCAAGTTGGTCCTTAAGTGAAGCGGTTGCTAAGTGAAACCACAACTGCTTATGATCTTCCTTCTGCTTTGCTTTACAGAGCCGCAAAGGTCGTAAATGTGAGGATTGGTCGTACAGTTCCTTTTTCATCACTGTCATAACTGCGAACGGTCACTAAACAAGGCAGTTGCTAAGCCAGGACTACCTGTAGTTGGGAAGCAAATGCTTTCTTTCACATATGAATGTTATACACAGGCCTTCCCTTAGGTCCTCAGAACAGAGAGATACAGATGTTACATTATATCCTGACCCCATGTATAGGGTTTTACAGGACTTCTATCCCCTATTTTGGAGGGGGAGAATTTTTCTATTTCCTATGAGTGGTTCAGTTACACAGACCGCCAGAAGGCACTACATGAATGGTTTTGTCTTATTTGGGACTCATCAGATGTAGGTAAACAGAAGTTATTTTATGGGGTTCAATCCCTCTATCAGAAATTGAACTCTAAAGTGCCACTCTAAAGTGCCAAGGTCTCTGAGTTTTTATGGGATTTTATGAATCCCATGAAATAACATCTGGTGAGTTCCAAATAAGATGAAATGTAGTGCTTCCTGGTCTATGTAATCATAGAGAAGGGACACATGATGGGGCTGGAGTAGCTACAACTGTAGTAAGGTGTAACTAACCTGGAGAATTGACTGCAGCTTAGCTAAGTCCCTTTCCAGGTTTTTGACTTCACCTCTGAGCTCCTTCAACTCCTGCAGGTACGTGTGCGAAGGAAATGCTGCACTTATAAGGATATGAAAAATCTGGAAAGAGAAAGGAACGAGGTTTCCCACAGGATTAAAAGAGGCTACCGCAAAGTAAAGGAAATGGCTCAAATGTAAGCATCGTTTTCTTTCCAAACAACCTTCAGAATCTGTCCTCCTTCCCCCCCAAAGTAAATGCATTTGATGAACCATAATTTCAAAAGAAAGTTTGCTGGGAGATACCCAAGCTTGTTCACAAGAAACCAGGTTGCTCTAAAATCCCTGTAATGCCTCCTGTTGGGAGTGAGTCCGAAAGACTGACACTCAGGGATTGACATCAAGATGGTGCTCACCATTCCCCACCCTACAGGACAACCTCCGTCTAAAATAAACTTACTTGTGCAACTTTTCTCTGGCAACACCAACACCAACTAACCGCTGCAGCCAGCAAGTGCTTGAGTGCTTCTATGATGTCCCCAAAAGCTAACAGCCAGGAACAAAAAGGCCACCTTTGGCTGCAGAGGGAAACTGGAGACCTGCGAAAGACAAGGGCAAACTAAAAATTAACGTTTTCTTTGCGGGAAAAAAAAAGTTTCCAGACTTCTACCATCAGATTCCAAGCAGGATGCCTGCAAACTGCCTTCCGTTCTTATTGGAAAGCGGCTGACGGAAGGAGACGCTAATTCCTCCTCTGTTTCTCATCTCCGTAAGCTTCAGAACTTTGAACAGGGTATGTGTCCTAGAGCCAAGAGCTATCAGCAGAAATAAATACTGCATCGAGCTAAAGCATAGGGTTCATTTTTAAATACCCTGGAAGCAAGCCAACGTTAGCCACAAGCTACAATCAAGCAATAGGCGGGTTTCTTAAGGGCTAACAAAAAAGTATGTGAGAAATTGCAAACAGAATAATAGAAATGTTAAAGCAAAATCAGAAACACTTACTTTGGAGGGAAAGCTTCCGAAGGAAGAACAGATGAACATGGAAACTCAATACATTTTTTCCTCTTCGACGAGAGTTTTGTTTTGGACCTCAGTTTTTGGCAACGTCGCTTAACTCTGGCCATTTCGTATAATTTCAGGCTAAGCTATATCCTCATTCATATAATTAGCCTTAATTCTTGTTTGAGGAGGGCAACATGTATCAAGGAACTACCTACAATGTTTATACAGAGAGATTTTATATACAAATCCAATACAGATTTATGAACATCCAGATTCTCATAATTCAGTATAGCTTAAGTCTTACTCAATGACGCTTTTACATATTCTATAGTCTACTATAAACACTGTATTTTAGTTCTTGAGACTCCTAGTCCTGTGCACCACACTGAGGACTTTGATTTATGGCCTCTAACAAGACTACAAAATTAAATTTAAAAAATGAAAATATTGCCCATAGAATAATAAGTTCTACCAAATTCCAGATAGCATCTAATGCACATATACCCAGAAACTGTGGCTTAATTCATGCCCAAAACTAAGCCAGGTCTTTATCATGGTTTAAGCTGCTTGGGTCTGTGTAATATTCTAGAGAATAAACCATGTTATGAACTGCAGGGGTTCGGTTTGCACAACACACTAAGCCCAAACCACTTTGGGCCAGTCACTCTGCCTCAGCCTCCCAGGGTTGGCATTCTGGAGAAAAATAGGACAGCGATCGATATATGTGCTGCTTTGTGCTCCCAAATGTACAACAGGATATAAATCTAATAAAGAAATCACTTGAAGGCTTCTGTGCATCCAGTCACTGAACTGCATTCACATTTAAGCGACATGCACAGAACACACATATCCGTATCTGTTGTAAAGTGTGGTTTCTCATATTAATTCAATGTCTTGGATCCTGACCATCAACCATGCCAAGATACCAACCACCCACACAGACTGTTCCATATGAAATGCTGGGCTACAGACTGTAGTTTAGTCTGTTTTACTGAAGGCAAGCGGTGAGGGTTGCTGGATCCTTGCTGAAGCTCCTGCTCTGATAAGGGGCATCAAACATCTGAGTTACACGTGTCTTTCTTCCTTGTTGGCCTGGCCTTTTCAGATGTACCGGAAACAAGGGGATTGAGAAGCAAGAGCAGAACGATAAGCCTTGCCCTCTCTCTCCGGATCAGGCGGGGGCAAGGGCGATAAGGCGCGAGCAGCCACGGAAGAGACACATTCACACGACACCCTAAACCCCGGTTCACGAAACACAACGGCTCCATTCATATCAGGGGTCTCCCAAACAAACCACACCACAGATTGACGCGATGGCCCGGCTGATACATCCCGTGGAAACAAGGCTGGGTTCCCACGACGTACTGAACCCGTTTCAGCCTATTCTCACGTGTCGTGCGAACCAGCCAGCGGGCAGAGCCTCTTATAGCAGAAGCACGTACTATGAAGGCAGAAGCTCGGCTTCAGGATGGTATCCAGGCCACGCTTTCTCGGGCACAAGCCTGTTCAAACCATCCGAGCCGAGCGCAGCTCCCTCGCCGCGAAGGGCCACGTCTCAGCTCGCCAGCAGCATCGCGCCATCTATAAACCCCTCGCCTCGCCAAACATTCAAACTCCGCCGGAACCAATCACAGCACAGCAGATGAGAGCCAACGTTCTATCGCCACAAATTTCAATGGAGTGAATTGATTGATTGAGTGCAATTTCGACGAATCGCCTTTTCCCGGTGGCAAACGGGAGCCAATCAAACTAAAAGTCGGGAAGGAAGGGGCCAACGAAAGGGAAGGCAGAGCGAGAGGAAGGAGGACGGCTATCGACGACCCGGCCCGCCTTTGAAAATTAAAGCTACGAAAAGGGCCAATGAAGTGCCGCATGCTGATGCCCCCGGCCAATCCGACCTCTCCGCCCACTTTCCTCCCAGCCCACTAACTAACTAACTAACCAATCGGAAATGGCGTAGCTTCGATGCCACTCAATTAGAACTCCCGTTTCATCTTGTGGGGTTATCCCAGTCATCCTCCAATAGATGTAAGGATGTCCTCGCGAGAAGCCAATGAGGAGGAGGATCGAGTGACAGCTGCTCAATAGGAAGCGTTGTCTCTTCCACTCAGCAAAAAAAGGGGTGGGCTCGCGAGGGGAGGGGAGAACGCCACCGCCTGAGGAATGTCAACTATTCAACATGGAGACGGCGGTTACTACGCTCGAGACCATGGTAAGTCTCGGGACTGTGGCGGGCCGCCACCGCGCCGAACGTAGCCGCGGTTCCCTTGAGGACAGGAGCGGCCTCGTGAAGAGCGGCCTGACGAACGGAAGGAACAAAAGGGGCGGAAAAGCCGCGGAGGAGGGAAGGAATGTGAGGGAACGTTCCCCCCTCCCCCCGCTGGGTTCAACCATTCCTCACGCCTGGAGGGGGGCGAGGGTATATCTGGGCGCGCCCATTTACCCCCAAAGGGGGTTGTGAGTTCGGTCCGTTTCTTTCTCGCGTCTTGCTGGGGGGCGTGGTCCGCTCGTGGGCGTGGCTTCTTGGGCTGGTCCATTCTCCAAAAGCCCGATCCTGAGGGGGCGTGGCCAGGATTGCGTGAAGGCGTGGCTTGTATCCTGGGCTGTTTCCCTGGTCCGTCGCCCCTCATCTTCTGCCCCCCAAGCGATGGGGCCTTTGGCCTGTTCTGTATCCTGACCAGAGCTGCATGCATAGAAGGAGGGAGCTGCCTGAGCCTATTTTCTTCATCTGTTGGGAAGAGAAAGACCATTGCACTGGATGGTAAATAGCACTGAAAAGAAAAAAAATGAATCTTCCACTGCCTATTGATGTACATATGCAACTTATTTTTATTTCTGTCACCTGAAAGCATATTTAGGGACTTCCTGTCCTGTTGGCCTCTGGAGCGGCTGGGTGGCAGTTAATCCTCATCCTCATCCTGGACAAAATGCTACCTGGGGGTTGATTCCCCTTGCAGTGTAGCCTGTCTGGAGAGCACCAGTTGAGAAAGGCAGATTTAGCGCATTTCTATCCATGACCGGACTGAAAGCAGTTGCATGTGGTTGTGCTGCAACCCACATTCAGTGCCGTTTTTAGCCACGGACCCTTTTTTTCATCCCGGTTGGCACTCCAGGATTATTGTGAGGCTAAATGAGCAAGGGAACCCTACCTGCTGCTTGAGCACCTTTGGGAATGGGCAGTGTGACAAGTGTGATAAAACTAAGGAAGGAAGAAATGTTTAGGGAATGAAAGGGTGGGTCTGAAAAGGTTGCTCAGAACCCTGCTGGATTGGAGCAGAAAGGAGCCCCAGTAAAAAATAGATAAATAAATTTTAAAAATAGACTGATGGAAGACAACTGACAAAGGAGAGGGAACAGTAAATGGGCCTGAATGAGCAAATAATTCAGTTTTTTGTGTGGTTGGGTTGGAATGGTTATATTCTTGGTGCCCATTTAAGTAATGTACACTGTTCAGCAATAAAACAGTTAATATTTAATATGTTAGAGGATTGTATATAAAAAAGTTTTAGGATCTGCGTGAATAAGTCTAATTCTTTGCCCAGGAGTTGTGAGCTAACCCACACTGGTGTATAAGGGATTTGTGGTCCATATTCTTTTATCCTACTGAACGAAGCAAAAGCTGAAGACAATTCCTGTGGATCTTGCTAAGGTGCAAAATAGTCAAACCTTAACTTTTTGCTTGGGGTTTCCATTATTTACTCAGAAGAAGTGGAGAGTTTTTGAACAAGGTATTAGCTTCTCAGCTGCTCTTTTTATCACAGTTGGCAAAGTTTTCCCTTTTTTGCTTTCTGAAATGTTTATAATAAAACCCTATCTGAATTCACTGAAGCATACCAAAATTGCAGTTGTAGAGTAAAATTATATCCAAGTTTCACATTTCCATTAAATGTCTGTGAAGAGTATAGCACCATTACACATTTCTGTTTCTTCTTTTCCTGCATGGCTAATTTTGCTGTTTCTCAGTAGGTGTGTTGAAAGATCTGAAAGGTAAATAAAGTATCAGGTCTTTTCATTTTATATATAAATAAAAGGAGCTTTGTCAGAAAACCACTCCTGTGAGAGAACATACTCAATGCTCAGAGGCGTTGAATGATGCCTCTTGCTTTTCGAGTTTTCCAAAGAGCCAACAGCTAGCGTTGGACATTGATTCACATTTATCTTCCAAACGTTTTGAGCTGGCGCTCTTTGCTGACCAGCCCCAGAGAACAGCACCTTAACTTTTCCCTCCCTTTCAGGAACTGTTCTGGAGGCAGGGGGATGTCACAGGTACAGGATCCTCAGTTCAGATCACTCTTGGAGGGGTGGGCCTGATGGCTTCCGATACTCTTATTACTGCCTGTGGCTGATAGACATGTGAGGTGGAAGTTCATCAGACGAATCCATCCTCCCCTGGATTTGTAGTCTACAAAAAGCCAGCTTGGTGTAGTGATTGAAGTGCCGGACTTGGGAGACCATGAATTCCAGTCCTCCCTTAGGCACGGAAGCTGGCTGGGTGACTTTGGGTCGGTCCCTCTCTCTCAGCCCATCCTACCTCACAGGTTGGTGGTTGTGGGAAAAATAGGAAGAGGGAGTATTATGCATGTCACCTCAACTTGCACAAAATAAAGTGGGATAGAAATCTAATAATTAATGAATAAAGTAAGGAAGTAAGTGTGGGATTCTTGGGCTTCTCAAAGGAGACCCCAGTAGATTTTGCTTTTAATTTCCATGCAGTGCTGTACATTGTTGAGGCTCTTCTTGTGGTGGTAATGCTTTCCCTGCTTTTCTGTCCTGCTGAGTTTGGGTGTTCCAAAGCCCTCATGCTCCTTTTTTTTTGTCTTTGAACCCAAGAATGTTATCTTGAGACTGGCTTATCCTGCTGCTTTCTGGATGGCAAGAGGTGTCTGTCCACTGCCCTTTTTATGTTGTACTACTAGTGAACACACACAAAAAGCAGTGCAATGTTAAAAGGGCATTGGCCAGCAATGCTCAGTCAGCTAAAATGCGACATGGAGGGAAGTACTGCATCCTGAATGTTTTGGGGCTGTGTGGTTGCCTAAAACAGCAATGGGAAATTCTGTCTGGAATTTTTTTTAGAGCTTTGCTGTGGAGAATTGAAGCATTGGTGCACTTTTGCATATGTTACAAGTCCACAAAAGTTTCTAGTGTATATGTGCTAGCCCATGCATCCTTCGCCTATAAGAAAAGAGCCGGAGAGCTTCCTTTTTGCAAAATACTTAAAAAAAAAAATATCCCTGATTATCGGGAAGCAGTTGTTTCTTTTGAGAGGCAAATGGCTGTTGGGAAGCCTGATATGCAGGAATGTGACTCCCCCTGCAGCGAGTGCATTCTTTCATCTTGTGTGTGTCTGCACACATTCCCGGTCTCTCCCTCGTGCTAGCTTGGCAGCCCTGTGGAGGACTGTGCTTATCTCGTACTTTTACAAAGAACACTTTTGAGTCAGACCACTTGAATCTGGCTGATGTTATCGACGGAGATGGTACTCAGAATAAGGCGAGACCAAACCAATAAGGGTGGTTTGGTCTCCCCTTACTCAGTAAGGGTGTGGAAGCATTGTCAGTTGGAAAAGGGTGTGTTGCAGGGCGCATGGTTTGAATGGAGCAGATTCTTCAGCCTTCCCTTTTGGAAGTCAGGGAAGCTGGTTTTCTTCTCAAGGAAAAATACAGCAATCCAGCTGATTGCGAACTTCGACTTTTGTTCATGTTGTAGTTGCTTAAGCTTTCGACCAATGCCTTTCTTCAAGCATTTTGCTGCTGACAAGTGCTCTGACTTCATTGCACTACTGTACTTCCCAGCTAGCAGTGCAATAGTATTGTCAAAGCACTTGCGAGCAGAACCTGCAGCGATGGCCCCGGTGGCGCCTCTCAGTTTCTCCAACTCTACGTGGCTGGCTGGATCAAGCGGTTTGGGCGTAAGGGTTCTTGGGCTGTCACGTGACGGTTGATTAGACTGCAACTTTAATTGGTCAAAGAATAAACTCTTAAAGCTTCTGGCCAGTGTGTCAATTTTGCTGAAGGGCAGCTTTGAGAAGGAAGTTGCTCCAATTCGTTTTTGAAATAGTCTGCGGTAGAGGTCCAAAGGTTCCTCTCAATGATGCCTCTTCTGTAGGCTCACAGTTGGTTTGGTCCAGTTGATGATTCCTGTAATGACCCTGCAGTTTGTCAACAGAATAATGCGTGAAGGACAGAATTGGTCTCTTTTTAAAATGTGCAGTCCCCATCTTCTGCCCACAGGCCAAGTTTTTAATCCATTGGTATATGAAATCTGTCTATCTGTTGTACTGAAGCAAGCCTGCGAGGTCCAGTGAAATCACAGTGGTTTTATATACTGTTTTATCTTTTATGAAGAATTAATTGGAAGCTTGAAATGAGCAATTAGGTCCTGAAATAGCAGCTCCTAGCATGACCGTGTGTAATTCCTTTCAGCTTTCAGATACTTGGGGTAAGTAGCAGGAGATACTTAAAATTCTTAGAGGCCTATATATATATAATTTAGGGGAGGGAAACGCCCAAGCCTTAAGTGTGCCTAGATCTTGCCTGCAGTATTTGCCTGTCCCTAAGTGGTTCAGTATGGGAAGGTGTAACTGTCATGCTGTAGGGCTGTTTTCTACCTGGGGAGAAGCACTGCTTACATGGAACAAGGTACATGAGAAGACCAGAGAAGGAGGGGATAGGAGCACTAGAACTGCATATTTTCCTCTTTTCTCATGGTGTGTCAAGAAGATCTTAGCTCTCTTTGGAGGCTCTGGTCACCTTTGGTGGTGGTGATATCTGTACTGCTAGAGAGTCTCCACTTATTTATGGAGCTTAGCTGTGCTTCTAGATTGCTATCTAGCCCTTAAACTCCCGCCCCACAATGTTGAGTTTTCTATTCCTGGGACAGAATGTTATTAATTAAGGACTTCTGGGAATTGCAAATCGATTTAAGGAAGTGATTAAGATTAATACTGTTGCCATTCCTCTGTCTGATTTAGTTTCCTGCAGGTGCCACTTATTCTGAGGGCAGGCAGAATGACCAGAATTTATTTTCTTCAAATCCTTCTTCAAAACCTGCCTGATTGTGTATCTTCAGGGAAACCTATATCCTTAGTTTGTGTTCGCTGAATGCAATTAGAGCACTGTGCACTTCAATATTTATTCATGTCATAACTGGATGTTTTGATCAATACAAGTCCTCAAGGTGTCATTAAAGTGAGGTATGGGCATTGAAGTAAAAGCAGTAGCCATAAAAGCATTATGTAGAAGTGTATGCTTTTATAATAATTATTTATAGAAGTGTTCCCGATCAAGGATCTGCACAAAAATTAAATGCGCAGGCTTGTAGTCGACAAAGACAAGGGGAAAAGAAATTAAGACAGGAAAATGGTTTATTGGGATTTAAAAGCCCTAGTGTGCAAATATGTATAGAAGCCTTAAATTAAAGGCTGGGTGGGACGGCACTTAAAATATTTTGCAAATAAACATACAATCATACATCCAGCCACTTGTAGCATTTAGTGTTCCAAGGATCCTTTACTCATTTATTAATCAGAGTTACTGCTGTGCCACCAGCTCAAACACCTTTTAGCAGTTTATCAAAAAAAAAAAGAGAGATACAATATGTAATATATAACTCATCAAAACTTACAGCAGAATATCCCCCCCCCCACATCAAAGATCTCCCCCGTGAGCCAGCCTCCAAAGGCCCATTCAGAAAGGATCATCTTAACTACCTTATGAAAAAACCAGAAAGGAAGGTGCCAAGATACCTCCCGGGGAAAGGTGTTCTGTCACATGGGGGCAGAGCAGGATTGTCCCTGGGATGACATCCATGTGATTGCTCATAGGGAGAGGGTCCTAAGCATCCTCTTGCTCTGTGTGGATATGAACCAGGCAGATGAGGCAGTCCCTAAGGTATCCTGCAGCCAAGCCGTTCAAAACCATTTTGAATTGGTCTCAGAAGCATACTAGTAACCAGTGCAGTGAACAGAGAATAGGTATAAAATGTGTTAAAGGCATAGCTTACTATTGCTGTGATTTCCCAGTCCAGATAAGGCTGTGGCTGCAGCTGGGTGCATCAGCCTTTTCTAACAGGAACTATGAGTTTATGAGGATGTTCAAATTGCTTCTTCAGGAGGAGTGTAATCCTATCCAAAGCTTACATTGAAACCCCCTTCCAAGCTGAGTTTTTTTCTGAACAAACAGCGACTCTGTTTGGCTGGATTTTAGTCTGAGCTTGTTTCTACCTATCCAGGCCCTCCCATCCTCCAGGCAAGGTAAGGACTTCCACAGTATCTCTGGCTTAGCCTGGAGTAGCAAGGTATATAGTTGAGTATCATTAGCCTACTAATCATACCTTACCCCAAACTGACAGATGACATTGGTGTTCGTAGAAGGGAGATGTGGAGGTGGCGGTAGTGGGGGTGGGAGGCAAATGATGAGTATTATGACACCCTTTTGTCAAGAGGAGTCTGGTAGCACCTTTTCAGACAAAATTTTATTGAAAGGTGTAAGGTTTCATGAGCTACAGCTCACTTTCTCATAAGCTCATGAAAACTTATGCCCTTTAATATAATGGGTTAATCTGAAAAGATGCTTCCAGACTCTTGATTTCTGGCTACCATAGACTAACACAGCTCTATTCCTACAATGCATTACAGAGTCACACATTGATGTTGCAATGCACATTTTGTCATTTGGCACCACCATGGCTACCCGCAACCCCCTCTGACATAGGTATTTAATAACATGGGAACGGGACCAAGCTTTTAATAAGGAACCAACCAAACTTCATCTCCTGGTCTTTGGTAAACCAAAGTGTGCCCTGGGATATATATCACTCATTAAATTATGTTTTTATTGTCACAGCATTTATTGCACAAGGGCTTGGCTTCTATGCTAAGCCAGGGTTTGTTTTAACCATGGTTTCAAGCAACAGTGGTTGGGTTTATTGGATACTCTAAGCCAGGATCTCCAATCCCTTTAAGGTGTGTGTGTGTGTGTGATATTTGGAATTTTAAGACCACGTTGTGGAAGCAAAATAGCTATTTGGGGTTACCTGTATTCGCCTTTGTGTTTTCTGCATGGGTGGGCACACTTCCAAATAGTGGTGGCTGCAGCCAACTATAATGTTTATTTTCTAAGAAAACTTAGGAGGCTTGCTTGGGGTCCAGGGGTATTCATGAAAATAAAGATGATGATAAATGCTGAATCTTGGATTTGCAGTATGACAGGCCTTAGCATCCATCAGCACATAAGCCCCATATTGGGGAACCAAATAAACTACCGTTAGTGCAGTATATGAATCTAGGGACTACCTTATTTCTCACATTACATAGTGCCTAAATGTTCTTATGTCTTATAAGTACTCTTACAATCCACTCAGTGCGACTGGTGAATATTAACTCTAGTTTTAAAGGACAGCCCACTTCCCTCGTAGCAAAACGTAACAATTCATCAGAGATAGTTATATTTTAAAAAGGCCCCTTAGCCATGGACTGTGTGTTGTGCTCCAGGAGATGTTGTTAAAATAGTAATTAAAGGCTATTGTATTGTATGGCAACTAGATTTATTGAATGCATTTTGAGAAACATAAAGCAGGGCCATTTTGAGTGTATCTGACGACAGACTGTCTTCAATATATTACAGACTTTATATGTGCGCACCTCACCTGGAGTCTAGTGGAATTTGCATTCCATACCCCAAATGTCTTTCAGAAGCTGCTTTGATTTTTAGATGGCCCTTTTCATCTCTCCTACCAAGATCACACAAGCATTAGAAAAGAGAGTATGGTTACAATGCAAAGTCCTCCTATTCTTATGTCATATTCCCTCCCTCAATTTGCATTAAGCAAAGGCATTTGGTGGTAGTGTTCTCGTTCTATACATCATATTAATGGGGTGGTGATCATTTTTCATGTTTTAGTTCCAGAAGGCGGAATCTGATCTGGATTACATCCAGGCAATGTTGGAGTTTGAAATGATGAAACGGCTCCCTAATGGACTCTCTCAAGAGGTATTGTTCTTAGGCTTATACTTGAAAGTATTGCCAACTTCCTCTAAGATATATTTTTAAGCCTTATCATTAAGATTCCTATGGCTTAGTGTGACCATATTTTACTGAATAAGCCACAGCTGTTTGGGGTTGCATAGTCCATAATCTATGGTTTACAAACTCCAGTTGCAGGAGTACACTACTAAAGCCATAGCAGACCCATGACTGAATGAGGCACTATCTTAGCTATTATCTATATACTACCAAAACTCTCGTTGTGTCTATCTGTTTGTACCCTCAAGTTAGCTCAAACAGTGCGTTACACCACAACCATTTTTGAATCAAGGTACCTAAAATCTGATAACTTAAAGAATGTGTAAAAAATCCAGGACTCATTTCTCCTGTGGAATTGAAATTTCCACAATGTTCAGACCACTTTTATTCGCAAAGTTGTGGCCGTTGCAGCATCCCCAGGGTCATGTGATTGTGACTTCCGATGCTCCCGCCAGATTCCCACAAGCAAAGTCAATGGGGAAACCAGCAGGAAGTTGGAAGTCACTCCCGCTCCCACTGCTTTTTTGCCCACCTGTGATCGTTCTGTTTATCTGTTTAGTAAATAAATATTGACTTATTATTGAAGTTTGTTTGCCACTACAATTATTTTTCGATTTATGATATATACTCTTCTTAGATGATCATGGCACTGTCCAGCATTGCGGTAAAAAAATATGGTCAGCCTAAAATTTAATGGTCATTCTGGTCACATCAGACTGCACTACCTTTCAAAGGATGACCCAATGGGTCACAGAGTTGTCTAGCAGCCATTATAATTTTGCTTGTGTCTTAAACAGCCAATTCATGATTATACCCTATATGCACATACAAACATAAGGCTTGTGTAGTTTGTCTATTTTCTCCCTGGGAATGGCTGTTCTATTTCTTACAACGACAACCCCAAAGACCTAATGGTTTTCAAGAGGCTAACTAACTTATAGAAGTACTTATTAACATAGAAGTACTTATTAACATCCTGGAGTTGGAAGGAGCCAACTTTTTTTCTTGATCCAACCAACACAATTGGGGTTTGGAAAAATATTTGGATCCAGATGGGCTTCCTGTGCTCTGTAGTTAATTCAGAACAGATACAGATTCCTGACTCCCCACCCCATGCCTGTAATATTAGATCTTAGTCATCCAGTGAAATTGATTGACAACAGCGTAGAACAGACAAAAGGAAGTTCCTCCCTGCACACTGTCTGGTGTCAACTTGGGGAATTGGCTTAAATAGTTTTGAAGAAGCCACCTGTTCTCTTTTACATCTGTTCCTTCACATTCTTGATGAATCTATGGAGGGTTGACTGCAGCAGCCTTATGTGCTCATTTAGCAGTTTGGAGCTGAAGAGGAAGAGGCATTGTAGCTGGTCATTGTGGAAGGGGAACTGCCAATTTGGTGTTGGTCCCCACTGGTAGTGTAGAGGTTTCAGCCCTCAGTGCAGGAGCCAAATTGTTGGGTGCCTTGGCCTCAGGATGCTGTTGGTGAATGCTAAACCTATGTATAATAAGACCGTGCTCATCCATGTTCTGGGCATCCTGGTAGATCATAGATTAAGCATGAGCCAGCAATTGCTGCAGCTGCCAAAAGAGTTAATGCAATATTGGACTGCATCAGTAGAGATAGTGTGTAAAGTCATCGTTCCATTCTCTGTTGCTCTGATCACACCGCATCTAGAATATTCTGTCCAATTCTGTTAATTGAATAGTTAATTGAACTCTCATCTAGATTTGTTGAAAGACTTCCAGATTCATTGTGGCTAGTTTAGAATATTTATTGCAGACAAGATTGATGCCATAAACTCTCAGCTTTTGCCTCTCATCTCTTCAAGATAATAGATACTTCACTGTACCTTGGTTTGATTCAGAGAGGTTTGTTAATGGTGCCCTCTAGCTGGGGAACTGGTGGTTTTCCCCTCAAAAGCTTCCTCTCAGTTCTACTCTGACTTTCTTCTTTAATGTTGAGTTCTGAATCTGCTTTTGTGGACCCTACGTTCTTAAAGCTCTTGGTACTGTTGGTCTTCCCCTTCTCTCTCTGCTATGGACTTCTTGCTTCGAAAACAGGAAAATCCTCTGGTCCTTGTACAGCAGCTTTCAGTGGTGAAATCTCGTTACAAAACATTGTGTGAACAGCTAGAGAAGATTTCTGCGGAGCGGCGAGAGTCCATGCGCGCTATCCGTGCCACTCTTGCCAAAACAGTGAAGCTGGTCCAGGAAATGCAGCACCACGCTGGTACAGAGGTAATGCTCTGTTCTTGATTACTGGGCATGTATGCTTCCCTCAAGATTTTAGCTTCTCCTCCTCCATTGGAACATTTGTGAGTGTGTTTCAGGATCCATTTTGAATCTATGGGGCGAGCACCAGAAAACCTTTCTGGGGATCAGCATGCTTCAACATCTCAAGTAATGGCTCAGTGGCAGGGGGCAGTTCTTTATTACGTAGTACAAAGGGTTCTACCAACTCTAAAACTGCCTTCGAACAGGTCAATTTAGCCAATTAGTGTAGACGCAACTTACTCAACCATACATTATAGTTAATTGCTGCGTTCATACAACAAGCTAAGCCAAATCAAACAATGTGACAATGAAACAGCTTGGTCACACATTACTGTAAGACCTTATTGGTTTGTTTGGCTTGGCCGTTGTAGCTTATTAATAACTTATGATTTAGCAAGCTATTTCATTGTCATATTATTTATGACAATGACATATTATTACCTTACTGTATGAACGCAGCAATTGTGCTTTATGAACTATAATTTACGGTCCAAGATCAATTGAGGAAAGTCACTAGCTTTTAGCCAAGGTCAACATTGGCATTTTTTTTTTCCTTACAGGTTTTGCTCATTTACTTCTTAAATGTATACTCTTACTTTTCTCCCAAATGGCACTCAAAGCAGCTAAGAACTTTAATATAAAAATAATAAAAAGCAATCTTGAATTGCAAAGAGAGGAGTCTTTGGAAAAGACCCTGATGCTGGGAAAGATTGAAGGCAAAAGGAGAAGAG